CCTCCCGGGGCTGGTGACGGCGGCGGTGATGCTCGGCTGGGCGGCGGCCCGGTGACCCGGCAGCGGTCGCCGGCGGTAGGTGCGGTGGCGGTGCTGCCCTTGGCAGCAGGACGGCGTGGTGGCGTGCGGTGGCCGGCGGCGCGTCCCCGGCCCAGATCTGGGCCCTCCTGGCCCCATCTGGGTCCTAGCGGGCCGGTCCCTGGCGTGGCTTCGTCGTCGTCTGTGTGGTGAGGAGGAGGAGCGGCTCGGATGGGGGGCGGCGATGCCGATGGCGTGCCTGCTGCAGCGCGATGGCGGGAGCTGTCCGGGAATGGAGTTCCCGGCCGGGCCTGTGGGCACACGGGCCTGGTAGGCTCCTGCTAGTGTGTCCGGTCGGCTACCGTCGTTGACGGTGGAGGTTGTGCCCTCCCGTGTGCCGACGGTGCTGCGGCCCCTAGTCCCGGCTCCTATCCCTTGTTGTGCAGACCTCACCTCGTGGTGCCGTGGTGAGACGGCGTGGAGGCTTCTTGACCATGGTGGCGCAAGATGGTGGTCGGTTTGGTGGCAGGCTTTGGAGCACCTGAGGTGAAGGTTGGGATCGGGGGAAACCCCTGTCGGCCTGTCCGACCCCGACGCGGCGACGCCGGTGGGTGCCGCCGGACCTTCCTGGAGGGCGTCGGGGGTGACCTTTCCTCTCGCCTCGTCGTGTACCGGGGGAAACCCTTGGCAGCAGCGTCGTCTTCGTCGCGGTCCTTCTTGGAGGTGCTGATTGGTACCGGTGTTTCGGAGCCTTGGAGCTTGGTGGGAGATCTTCGGTGGGCGCAGTGGTCGTGAAGCTTCTTCGTTTCCGTCGATCCGCCGTTGTCGGCATTCTTTTCTCTTGTTGTTTCTCTTTCGTTTCTTTTGGGTGTGACTGTGCTGCTTCCGCCCCAGCACCTATCCTTGGATGTATCGGTTGGTTGCTTTGGAATACAAAGCGGGGGGAAACCCTTTTTCGTCAAAATGTTATTGTCCATTAAGCATTGGTGCATAGCTGGCGCCGGAGGTGGGTCACTGCAGTGCCAGGGATGGAGGGCTGGCGCCGGAGGGGACTGCAGCCGCAGCCATTAGAGGTCAGATTGGATCTGACCGCGGCGAGCATGGCCGGAGACAACGGGAAGGGGCGTCGGAGAAAAGGAAGGATCAGCGGCGGAGGAAAAACGGAACGGGAGGGTCTCGACTTGCGGGGCTCCGCTGTCTTCGTTTTGCCTGGGCGCCGCCGTCTTCGATCTGCCTGGGTGCCGCCATCCTCTTTCTCGTGGTGGAGGGACGAAGGGATGAAAAAGAGGCTGGAAATGATTAATGAATTAAACAGAGAGACACAAAAGGATTCAATAGAAACCAATAGGGTATTAATTTCATAGTTGAGGAAGTATTGGCAGAGGCTAAATCAAGCAGAGTAGACCCGTTTTCTTCTAGATTAAAATTGACATTAGCAAACGAACGAATAAATTCATTTAGATTACTGCCATTGCTCTGCCCCAAAAAAAAAAAACAATGTAGGTCGTGATCAGATCTCTAGCAAAGCAAACCTCCCTGAGAATTAGGGCAATTCTAATGAGGGAGCTTAGCCTAGGTTCTGAACCGATTTCCCTTGTAAGCTAGCCCTACTCATATGGAAATCCGAATGGCGATGAATCCAATCCAATACAGACATCCAAACAATACAGAGGTCTCCAATACAGACATCCAAACACAAAGTTAGGGTAATATGATGGAGCTGTTCTGTACTATGTGATAGGCCTATAGTGCAATCTTCATGCAATCCACTAATTAGCTCGGTCTGGAATTTCTTGTTTTATTACTCCTACATTGATTGTATGTAAAGTTTCTCCGCAACAAAATGTTGTATATTAAAACGAGTTCTGAAAAATAGGTAAAGCGATACTAGAAATGTGTGTACAAAATTTTCCAGATTTTTTCATGACTTTTGTTAGTTCACTGCAAGCCCATTCATATATCTTGTCGAAGGAGATGATATTAGAAGAAGGCTACAGATCCAGACATTTGCTACCCCTTTTGTTGTTATTTATAATGTCAAGTTTGTTAATTGTTGTAGCTTGGCAAGCCTATTGAGGAGACCAAGGAAGATGTGTACCCGAGGACCCACAAGTCGCCTGCCAAGATACGCATAATTTTGAAATCTTTCAATAACCAGAAGAACAATCTGAAGGAGCTTGCGCCGTACATGCATAAGGTCGGGTTGCCTGAATCGCGGTCCTTATACACCGTGCTGCGATCACCTCATATTGATAAGAAATCCAGGGAGCAATTCTCAACGCATGTGAAGAAAGTGTTTGTGGAGAAAACAGCAGAGACGCATGAACTGGCCAAGAAGTTCTTCTGGTTGAAACGGCTTCGTATATTGGGGGCTCAGTACGAAGTCGTTATTAATTTCAAGACACGCTTGGGTAAAAAGATTGGCTGCAGCAAAGGTGGTGGCCTGCTTTGACATCCAAAACAGGGTTCAGGCATAGAATAAAAAGGAGGTAATAACAATATGACAAAATGCTTCTTTTGGGCAACTGAATTACCCCCTTGTTTAAAAATAAACCATACTGGGTTGGTCGCTGATGGATTAATTGGTTTTTGCTTCCTGGCTGCTTTCTTGTCTTGTAGGTACTAGAGCTGCTTCAGGCCACACACAAGCTATCCATCCAACTTGTGTGGATCTTAATTTCTGGCCTTGGTTTGATCTAGCATATAAGTAGTATATATTCTATGTAATGTCATATGGAACTAAGGATGCATGTGACCTATCTGAGGATGTTCCTTTTTTGGTAACCATCCATGTATTTCGAAAGAAGATGGTGATAATAATATGTGGAGAAGAGGATAGACGATGTCTGTCTGTCTGCTTTTTTTGCGATATTAGTGCCATCTATCTGCCGGAGCCTGAATATATGAGAGCCAGCATGAATGTTTGATGTGTAAGTAACCGAATCTGATTATGTTATGTGGGTGACAATCGATTCACTTACTATCGAGATTATTGTGTGATGCTTCATTATAACCGATATAAAACGAGTACCTAATGTAGCTAGAGTGCAGATGAGCAATATTAGATGCTCGTCAGCTGGTGATTATGCTTATATCTGATTAGGGGCCGATTAACGCACGTACCGAGAGCTGTAGAGCTGGAGTCAGGGTCGTGTGCTCGTACAATAGAAATGTTCCTGGGCAATGTGGCGGCAAAGCAAGACAAAACAAACAGTTTCTGGACAGTGTGACTCAGCTTTTATTTCTTGATCAACAAGCATTCAACAACAACAAAAAAAAGTTTCTGGACAGTGGGGCTCGCTTTTCTTTCTTGATCAACAAGCAAGCATTCGTGCGTGCGGCCTTCCTTCCTACTCCATGTAAACAACAGAAGGCGTCTGCCGGTTGCCGGTTGCGGCATCAAATTTAATTTGCCAGTGCCTACGTGTACATGCAGTTCGAGAAGCGCCAGGGCGACGAGAAGAAGGGCGAGTCAGATGCAGCACGGCGACGACGCATAGCTCATCGATTAACCTCCTATATATATGGCTAATCTCGTTAATCAAGTAAACTGAACTTGCGGCATCTTTGATTGATTAATTTAATCCACTAGCTTGCGCGCGCCTCTCTCATGACAAGCCACGCTGGTGATTCTTCTTGGATGATGATGATGTTGGACGACGACAGGCCTCCTTCCACCGGACCACGTGCGTCTGCGGCGACAGAGTCGGATGTGTCCTCGCCATCTTCGGGGGGCTTCTGGGGCAGGGAAAGCTCCTGGTCGTGGGGACTGCTCGGGAGACTTCAGCTGTTGGAGGACAAAATTACTTTTCTGACCCTTAAGGCAAACTAAATCCCGATTTGACCTCGTTTCAAAATTTTTTTCGTTTCTGACCTTTTTCGGTGACGCCAAGGTCCCTGGCGTCTGG